CGACGCCTAGGAACACTTCCCCCAGCATTGGGATCTTTTCCTCACATACACTCTACGCCAGGGGTTCTCAACCAGGGGGGAATTCCCCCCAGGGGAAGAATTCAGGTTTTCAGGGGGGGGGGGAATGTATATGTACTAATATGGAAAAAATAAAGGATTTTCAGTATTATATGCATATTATTTGGAATGCACTTTTTGAGACAGACAATCTTGGAAAGGAGGGGGGAATGACATTCTGACATATGGTGAAAGGGGTGCATGGGGCAAACAAGGTTGAGAACCACTGCTCTACGCATTCTCAAAACAGGGTATTAGTTTATTTCTCTGCTTCACATTTAACACACTATCGTTCACTCACGCATAATCACTTCCACTATCCATCAAAGCCCTAAAGTCTCTCTGATGGAGCCGAATCTGTAGATGATTAGGAAAACGCAAAAGTAGACGATCAAGTTGTTCCGCCTGAATCTCCTCTTGCTGTGCCGTTCGACGGCTCCTCTGGCCCGTGTGCACTATCGCAACCACACGCTTACGAAGGCCTGTGTCTCCGCTGGTGCTCTCCTTCACAACATTACAAATACCTCCTCGAGATCGTCCACCACCTGGGTGTGTGGCGGACTTTATTGAAATTTATCCCCCAGAAAGGGATTTGCGGTTTCCACCCAGGGTTTTCCCTTAACCTTTTGAAGCATGTGGCCCAACCTCCAGGATGTGTCTGAGAGCATTGATAGCACTGTAGCGCTCTGTTGGGAGTAGTCGCTTGCAGTTGTCGTCCCCTGCCCCGGGTGTTTCGAAAAGAGGGTGCCTGGGCCGCCAGCACGACTGGCTGACTGAATGGACGCCACCTGCTTCCGCAAGTTGCTCAATTCACGTTCCAGTGTGGTCTCTAACTGTCCAGTCATGACCTTCGCTGTGACACCACCCCTTGCTGCTCTCCCCTGTCTCGTTGCTTGACCTGTCGCACTAGTCGCTTGCTTCGTCGACAGAGCATTTTCAGCAATTTTCAGTACCTCTTCATAGGACTTTGCCACCTCATCTGTCCCCATCCACTTTTCTCTAATTATCTGCAGCCTCACGTCCTGGTCCCTTATCTCATCCAGGAATCGCCAAACTACCCGTTTACATACTATGTCATTAGGCGCTAGCTGCTGCAACCTGGTCATGAAATCACTCAACTCCTCACCTTGACGTTTCGTGAATTCCTCGAATCTCAAAATTCAAACTTCAATGGCATCAGCAGTCATAAATCTTGATGTCAGTCTCTCTAAAATTTCACCGTCACTCTTCCCCCATTCTGGATTCAATGTCGCCTGCTGCTCCACATAAGTCACCGTCGTCCCTCGCAGCTGTAAACGTAACATTACAGCCCTGTACTCTGATCTATTCCATGCGTCCACTCTGCTCATGATGTTGGCGTTCTTAACGAGGTTATAGTGCGCGGAGAAGGCTCGGAATGTAGCTGGGGAGGTGTCATCCCCCAACGTTAATGTGAGTGGAGTTTCCTGCAATCGAGAGTTGCTGGTAGCGCTATCGTCTGTCATCCTCTTGTTACCGCCAGTCAAGGTCAAGGAAACGGGGAGTTCTAGTTGGATTTAATGACAAGGTTACAAGCGTTCCTCTCTCGATGCTGGTCAGTGTACAGCTGCCAAGGCTGGTCGGCAACTAGCGCCACCACACCTCGGCTGAAAATGTGGACCACGGGTCCGAACAACCATGGGGCAGTTCAACAATTGACAAACAAAAATAACAAAAATAATCCTCCATACATTTCAGAATGTAATTACACAATACAATACGAACATAACAGTATAATACATAATACACAATGCTCTCACAGTAGTTACTTCGCTCCTGAGCAGTTACTTCAAGTACTGTATATAAGGGATTCATTCGTCCTAACTTTGAGTACTGCTCTCATTTCCGGGGTGGCTCTTTTCTGCCCAACTGTTAGATAGGGTGGAAACAAAGGCATTTCGTCTTATTAACTCTCCTCCTTTAGTTGATAATCTTTCTTCCCTTTCTCTTCGCTGCAATGGCGCTTCACTCTCTCTCTTTTACAGATACTATAACGGGCAATGTGCGGTAGATTTGGCATCCTGTGTACCGCCGGCAAGGCTGTGGGCTAGTAACACTCGTCTTGCCCGCGATGACCACCGTTTCAATGTGGATGTCGGTCACACTAGAATAACCCGTTATAGTACAACTTTTTTTCCTTACACAGCCAAACTCTGGAATGCTCTGCCTTCTTCTGTGTTTCCACACACACAATCTGTCTCACTTTAAAAAGCTGGTTTTCAGGCATCTTCGTGGTGTAGATTAATATAACCATTTTCTTTTCTATTTCTAATTTATTTTTACTCATATTTTTTCGCCCCCGAGACCCTGCTGTGGGTCCATGGCCTGTGCCCGGGTGGGCTATTCCCCTTAAAAAAAAAAAACTCACTTTGAAGTTCGAATACTCTCGAACACATTCACATTTTATGACATCTCTAATCTTATAATTCAACTCCACAAATTAAAACAAACGTACAGACGCATCCCAAACAAGCAAGACAGCAATTTACAAAATGACCTAACTATCCTGACACTGAGTATAGTATGAGTGAATGGGCTTTCCCTTGTGTCTTAGTCCCTAGGCCTGACGCAACCATGCGCATGTGCACGAATTGTCGTTGTGTTAATGCTCAGTCATTCATTTTGGGGGGATTTTTTGGGCCACTTCGCTTTTCGGCTATTTCGGCTGAAGCTGTTTTTTTCTTCATTGCTTTCTTTTGAGCTCTTCCCTTGTTGTTTTCTTATGAGCTCTTCCGTTTTTTCTTTTTCTTTTCACTTTCCATTTTCCTTCCTGGTCTTGTTCAGGTATATACTCCAATAAGTCGAAAAACTCGGAAAATCTTACCCTTACTGTATCTGTTTATTTTTTGGGTCTTTCTTGTTTTGTTTTCTTTTCTTCTGTCTTGTTTGGTTCTGTTTCCTTTTCCCCTGTCTTATTTGGGTCTTGAGTCTTCTTTTCTTCACTAGCTCAGTTGTTTCTTGTTTCGCAGTTTATCCACCTTACACTCCTCTCTCCACTTGGGGCAATCCCGGTCGGAGGGAGGTGAGGGGCGCCACAAGCTGTGCATTTCTTGTCGGCCGCCGAGCAGTTTGTGTGCCAGTGTCCGGGTGTCCCACAAGTTGCATAGATCTCCCGAGCCATCACTTCCCTGCCAGATGGCCATACCTCTGGCATTTATAACACCCGATGGGTCTTTTTTCATATGGTCTTACTGGGATGTTCTCCCATCCACGCAGTACGGTGCTTGGTGAATGCTTTGGTTAACCGACCAGTGCCGTTATGCTGGTCAGCTTCCGTACTATTGTGAGTTGGTCTCCGATCAGCTCGGCCAGCTCTTCTTTCTCAAGATTGTCTATCTCGGTGTGAGAGATTACTGCCAACACCAAGTTATCCTCCGTATAGACTTCCACTTGAATCTTAATCCCGTTAATTTCTTTTAAGTTTGATACTTGCTGGGCCGGTCCCCATTCCGCGAATGTGACCATAAGGCCACCCCCTGATTCCTAAGGAGTCAAAAAACTTCCTTAGGACAAGGAGGTTAAGTTGCTTGGGTGAAGGAAATTCGACTGGATATAGTCTCACGACCTTCGTCTGGTCACAGAGCAGCTTTGCACTCATCGTCAGGGTCACGTAGTACATCGGGAGCCCAGATTTTGCCTCGCCGAGGTGCAGATCTGGAATCTTAATGCTCTGACCAGGGCAATGTTTCTTTTAAGACCAAAGTAGATCTTTTAAATTTCTACTATAAAGTCCTTTTGACTAAACGTACCAAGGCCATAAGTGCTTTTGTAGCCCCAGAAGCATCTGCGGTGCCGGTGTTAGGGTCTCCTAATGTAGCGTTCGTGGCGGTCTCACCAAGCAACTGTAAGACCTGTGCTATTAATGCCTACATAGCGGCACGGTCTACTCTAGCAGCTTCTTCAACGGCTTGATGCTGCTGTTGCATGGTGGCACGATACTCCCTTGCTTGCATCTGCTGGGCCTACACTAGCTCTGCCAGACTATCAAGTGCCAACGGGGAAGTACATACTGGGCTAGCTGTGGCACCTGCTTCGCCCTTAGCTTAGCTCCTCGTAAATCCTTTTTCTGCCCTATGACGGTGGTGTTCTGCGGTGGAAAACCAGCTGGGCGGGGTCATGGTGAGGATAGGGGCTACCAAGGTATGTGTGCCACGCCAGTGAACACTATCAATGCTTCTTAACTCCTCTTTTCCTTTCCGCCATCCGACAGAAAGAAGGTACCAGCAGTCATGAGGGATTTCTGTAAGATCAGGAACAGCTTAGCCGTAGACGGTGGCCTTGTTCTTCACAGTGGTCGAATCGTAATTTCGACCACAATCCGTCGTCAGATCTTGGCTCGTCTCCGTGACTCTCACAGGGGGATTGAAGCGACAAAGCATAGAGCACGTCAGACAGTATGGTGGCCTGGCATTACAAGAGATATCGTAAACACTGTCCAGTCCTGTGACGCATGCCAGACTCTGCTGCCATCTCAGGTTAAGGAGCCATTAATGTGTGACCCGATCCTAACCCGGCCATTTGAAGACGTCTCAGCAGACCTCTTTTCCCACTCGGGAAAGAACTATCTACTCTATGCAGATCGCTTGTCTGGGTGGCCACACGTCGGTACTTACGGCAGGGATGCGACTTCAAGAAGCACCATCAAGCTTCTGCACAGCTTCTTCGTGAATGTTGGTGTTCTTGTCCACCTTTGCACCTATGGTGGACCACAGTTCTCCAGTCTTGACTCCCGGTCCTTCCTCAAGCGATGGGGTGGCAACCATGAAATCCCATCGCCACACTATCCACAGTCTAATAGTCACGTTGAAGCTTATGTCAAGGTCAATGAAGCATTTGATCATGAAGACCACGAAGGGTGGAAACTTAGATGATGAAGATTTTGACATTGGCTTGTTAGAGGTACGTAATACCCCCGTCTGGATGACAGATCCCCAGCCCAGATACTCCTTGGCCGATCATTACGGACAGCAATGCCGGCTTACTGGCAATCCTTCGCTCCCGAGTGCAAACTGTATGACAATCAGCTGTTAACGCCTCGGGCAAAAGGCAAAAAAACAGACACTACAACCTCTCTGCTCGTTCTCTACCTCCTCTGAAGGTTGGCATGCCTGTCCGCATCCAGGACCACATCTCGCTACACTGGGATAAGGTCGGGACAGCGGTAGGTGTTGGCCGCGTCCAGAATCCTCGAGCACTGACGTCAACACGGGTTTCGTTAGCTGTGTTTGAAGTCCTATGTTGGAAGATTTCACCGTCGAAAGGAAGGAGGGTCGGTTCTACCATGACATCCCGGCAGATTTCCTTCAGCATATGAAGCCCCCTTTCTTGCACACCATGGCGTGATCGACGTCATAGGAAGAGCCACACACGCATTGGGAGGGCAAACCTTCTACTGGCCAACCGTCCCTTAGAGCAATGGCATATGTAAATTCTTGTTTATTGAGACTGAAACCATTTGCCCTTATCGGTAACGTAGTTAACCAGTTCGAGGCGCCCACTTCCTGCGCTATAGCTATCACCATAACACCTCCACCACTACCAACACAGGCCACCGTCACTACCACCACCATTACCACTTCCACCATAACCATCACTACCATTACTACCACCGCCACCACCACCATTACCATCACTACCACCACCACCACCACAATTATCGCCACAATTAATCCTACTACCCTTACCACCACCACCATTGCCACCACCACCATTGCCACCACCACCACTATGACCACTACCATTACCACCATCATTATTACGTCCACCAAAATTAACAGCATAGCCATTATCACCACCTTAGAACCCAAGACAGTACCTTCCATACTCACTATCACCGCCACACACCATAATAGTGGATAAAGTTTTCTAATATTACAGTACAAAGGGAAGCTTGTGACATATGACTAACTGGATACTGTTTCCATTACATTATGTACCATTAATGATGTTTAGAGCATTAATAAGCCCGTTTAAATTATTTAGTAATTAAACAAAATAAAATGATAAACTGTCAAACAATAGAGATTACATAGCTCATAATCCTCCACTATATAATGATTAGAGATATTGTCAGACTAGATTTTTCCATTTATATATTTAAACTGCTTAACTACAACACCTTCCCTCTCATCAGCTGACTCACCGTTACTGAATGCGTCATAATGATAGAATACAACAACCCTAGTAACCAAAGATTAGCTTTGTATCAAAGCTGTATAAACACCAAAGGATTATACAGGGTGATTCAGTAAAGCGTACATTAAATTGGAGGATGAAATCCTTGGATAATTTTAAACCACAATGTCTCTGTGGTAAAATGTCAGATTCTGCATATGCCCATATGTTCGTGACAGGTGCGAGCAGATAAAACATTGTCCAGGCATTTTGGAACGCATCAGACAATCAATGGTACGACGTGTACGCTGTACAGGCCTGCATTGAGGCAGAAGAGGGTAACTTTGAACATTTTCTTTAAGTTGTAACAAAGCGGGGCCACACTGTAGAGATCTGTGAATAAATGATTACGAAAACCTACCCCCACTCTCATTAATACAACATCTAAAATATATTGTAACGTGGAAACTATGCAGAACCTGACATTTTACCATAGACATTGTGGTTAAAATTATCCAAGAACTTCATCCTTCAATTTAATGTGCTCTTTGCTGAATCACCCTGTATAATTATATAACACACCATATGAAAAAGCATACATCTCTTCATCTATTCGCAAACAGTATATCAGTATATTATATTAGCTAGGTTTCAGTTTTATTTTACCTTGTTTCTTATATTACTTTTCATGCATGTACACTAATAACCACCCCAGATTTATTATTGCATTTATATTTTACTAACACTAAATAATACGTTTCTTTGTTCTTGATTTACATATATTACTTCATATTATCACGACGGAGGTGAGTGGTGAACAAATTCCAATGCATAATTTCAGATGGATAATGACATGGGAATGCAATACACCCTCGATGTCTGTTATACAATATACACAAATACTAATATGGATGACGTATTTCACACCATCTACATACAGATTATCAAGTGTTTGCTTTCAGATTCCTGATAAACGTCCTCATAAGAACAAAAAGGGCCAGTGTAAAGCAACACACATCTGACGGAATAAAATGCTGCTTTAAAGCACTAACAGTACTGTTTCAATACCAATGAAAGTTCGGTGCAGAAAATAAAAAAAATACCTTTTTTTCTCTATATAACGTGTAGATTAGTTTGGGTTAGGTTATGTTAGGTTACTATAAAAATTCAACCAAAATCGTGGCAAACGGTTCCTTTGTTGATGACGGTTGTTAAGCTGAAAAGCAACCTTGGTGACGTCACGTCCACCGATTTGACCGAGTTGATGTCAGGGCTGGTGGCTGATAGTCGAGTCACAAGTCACCTTAGTCACAGCACCACACCTCATGGTCAAGCATGAATCCTCACCAAGAAAAACTTTGCCAACGGGGGAAAATTGTGGGTATGAGACGGGCTGGCATGTCCGTTGGCGGCATAGCAAAAGAGATGGGAATAACAAAGACAACAGTGAGACTTTGGTAGCGGAGATGAGAGGAATTTGGAAATCTGAAGGAAAAATCAAAATGTGGCGGGCCAAGGAAAACCGACCCGGATGAGGATAAACGATTCTTGTAAACTAACAGCAAATCTTCTCTTACAAATGCTGTCTCTGTAAGGAATCGGTTGCAATTGCAGGTTTCTTCCAAACCAGTTCAGAACAGGCTTCACAAGTCAGGGATTCATCATAGAACCCCAACAATAAAGGGAAAGCTTGAGGATCGATATCGGGAAGTAGGAATTGCATTTGCTCAACAACATGTTAATGACGGTCTTGATTACCAGCAGCCACGTCACCTGTAACGTGTGGGGGTGGATCCACCTGTACGGTATGGGGGAATTGACAGAGATACGAGAACGCATTACCGCCGACCAGTATCTTGAGATTAAGGTTGGGAAAGGAAGGCATGCTGGGGCTCAAGGCACAGCCACACATGAAGGTTAGAGAAGTCACGACAGATAGTCGTGGGGGGAAAGGTTGGAAAAGAAGTTTAATGTGTTAAACAGAGGGGGACGACACCCCTTGCTTTACATATTACAGAGTTTGTTGGCTAACTAAGCTAACCTAGGATTTAGGATGAGATTGAACTATAATGAGACGGACTCACAAGAAGATGATTACATATATAGGTAGAATATTTAGTAGGAGGATGTAAAGAGAGGAAGAGTTCGGTAGCATGGCCGTGTTGTTATTTACTCTGTCATTACACTTATCTTATCTTATACGTCAATACACATCTATTACGTTCTTAAGGACGACTTCTCAAACACCGCTTAGTTACAACTGTTTAATAATTACGACAATGGCATGGACACATTAATAACACTTTCTATCGAAGTTACTAGGACATTATATTTACGTTACTAGGACATTATATTTACGTTACTAGGACATTATATTTACGTTACTAGGACATTATATTACGTTACTAGACACTGATTCTCGGACACAAACATGAAATGAATACACTTCCCACGTAAGTAACTCATCCTATGGATAGCTCTGACAAAAATTCACGTGACCTGGGGGAGGCCAACAAGTGATTCTGGACTGTCTCTATGGGAGACTGCTTAGCTGGAACACTGGTGTCGGGAGGGAAGTGTCGGGAGGGAAACTCTAACTCCCGACCGGAGGAGGGCTTGCCTCCGGCTCTCTCTGTCTGACTGTCTCGACTCTCCGACTGACTTCCCCGACTCCTGTGAGGGAGGGCTACGACGTCCTATATATTCGGAGACGAGCTGGCAGATGACTGGGTGGCGGCGAGGGGTACTCTCACATTTGACCTCGCTAATGCAAGGTCAGGTGTGGACTTTTTCGGAGCTATAAGTTGTTGTATATATTGGAGGAATTTTCTGCTGACTGCGTGCCTGTAAACATAGTTGGTGAGGCCGTGTGACAGGGGGTGCTGGCAGATTTGTAGCCCCCTTGACTTGGGCTGCGAGGGGTCCCCTTTACATTTGACCTCGCAAATGTAAGGTCAGGTCTGGACTTTTTCTGAGATGGAGGTTGTTGTGTATATTGGGGGAGAGTCGGCAGGTGGCCTTTCTGCTGACTGGGTGCTTCTTACATATTTGTTGGGGCTGTGTGACATGGTAGGGGTGCTGGTTGATTTGTAGCCCCTTGAGCGGCCGCGAGGGGTACCCTTACATTTGACCTCCCTAAAGTCGGGTCAGGTCTGGACTGTTTCTGAGATGTAAGCTGTGGAATCGTCGT